CTGCTGCGGCGGCGGCGTGTTGAGCGCGTCGAGCTCGAGCTCCACTTTGTCCAAGTAGCGGTCCACCATGTCCCTCAAGTCGCTTACGACTGGAAGCTTCCGGGACGTCTCGCCCATGCCTCCGCCGCCGCCCATGCCTCCGCCGCCGCCCATGCCGCCGGGCCCGAGACCGCCGCCGCCTGACCGGCCATGACCGAGGCTGCCGCCGCCGCCCGCCCCGCCACCAGCCATGCCGCCGCCAGGCATCGCACTCGCGCTCGCGCTGTGCGTGTACGCGACCTACAGGCCGCGAGTGTGAGGGCGGGGTGTGCGGACGGGCCTCGCGCCGCGTGTGCGCCGCACTGCGTGACCACGCGGCGCGACGCGTGGAGTAGTGGTACCACCCCACAGCGCTGGAGGTCGCGCCGAGTCACGTTCCGGTGGGAGTCTGCGGCAGTCACTGGCCAGGGCCGTGCCTCCACCTCTCTAACTGCCTCACTAGGAGTCTGCGGCAGTCACTGGCCAGGGCCGTGCCTCCACCTCTCTAACTTCCTCACTAGGAGTCTGCGGCAGTCACTGGCCAGGGCCGTGCCTCCACCTCTCTAACTGCCTCACTAGGAGTCTGCGGCAGTCACTGGCCAGGGCCGTGCCTCGCCCTCTCTAACTGCCTCACTAGGAGTCTGCGGCAGTCACTGGCCAGGGCCGTGCCTCCACCTCTCTAACTGCCTCACTAGGAGTCTGCGGCAGTCACTGGCCAGGGCCGCGCCTCCACCTCTCTAACTGCCTCACTAGGAGTCTGCGGCAGTCACTGGCGAGGGCCGTGCCTCCACCTCTCTAACTGCCTCACTAGGAGTCTGCGGCAGTCACTGGCCAGGGCCGTGCCTCCACCTCTCTAACTGCCTCACTAGGAGTCTGCGGCAGTCACTGGCCAGGGCCGTGCCTCCACCTCTCTAACTGCCTCACTAGGAGTCTGCGGCAGTCACTGGCCAGGGCCGTGCCTCCACCTCTCTAACTGCCTCACTAGGCGCATTGCGCTGCGAGCTAGTGTGCGAGAGGGTGAGGTGTCCAGGCGCTGGTCAGGCTGCGTCTCCACCTCTAACTCACTACCTAACGGCACTGGCCAGGCCGCTGCCCCGCCCTCTCCAACTGCCTGACTAGCCCGTGTCCCGAGTGCGATTCCCAGCGCACAGACAGACAGACAGACAGCCGCGGGTCGGCTCTCGAGCCCCTCGTGCGGAGCGTGTGTGTGCGCACGTGCGTGTGGGCCTGTCCTCCGTGCTACAAGGGGCCTCGTCACACTGACTCACAGTCTGACTACTGTCTCACCTGTCTCACCGAGTGCCCCTCGTCATCCAATTAGTGACCGCGCATGAATGGATTTCGTGAGATTCCCACTGTCCCTCTCTATGGTCTAGGGAAACCACCGCCCAAGGGGAAACGGCTTTGGGAAGAATCCACCGGGGACCAGAAAAACCCCTTGTTGAGCTTGAACCTCTAGGTCTGTTTCCCGGTGGGAAACAACCTTGTTCGGGATTTGAAACTCGAAAAAGGCCCTTCCTCT